TTTTGTTATTTTGAGTTCTTGATTTTTGTGATCACATAGTATTGATTTGGTTTATATTTATCACGTAGAACCTGTTACAGTTAAGTACTCTTAACCCCTAGGATCCAGACCGTTTGCCGCTCATGTGCGTATCAAAATCCGGGCAATAGGCCTATGCGGTGGCCACTCCCCCGGGAGCGCGTCATGTATGTCCGGCCCGCACGAGTATTCACAAGCAGTGTCGAGCCTTTGCACCCCCGCTCTTAGCAAGTTGTTTGTAGATGGCTTTTTACTATATTGTGATTTTATGAGAACTGTATTTCTTGTTTTCTTATGCTTTATTATGCAGCCAATTGCCTGTTATCATTATGCAGACTCCATATCATCACTGCAAATAGTTTATCCTCTGTGCAAAGCAGGTAAAATTGTGTTATCAGTATTCTCTTTTCTATATTTTCGTATTATTTAGATTTTAAAAAATAATAAATTAATAATAAATTGCGCTATATGAAGAGAGTTTTAGATTTTTTAGTTGTTTACACTTCATATTATCTGTTGAAGTAGCATATATGGAGCAGTAATAAAAGAACATCAAAATATTTTATGTAAAACCGTTTTTACTGTTTACAAGATTTCGAATGCTAGATTTGTAATTTGTTATGCTGGAAATGTACTGTTTTTGTTGAGAAGACTCCATATTATATATATTTAGACTCTGTGCAATAAAGATAATATAGCCGTTGTGATTTTCGTATTGTTGTTTATAAAAACAAACATTCATGTGACTATATCATATCAGCAGTAAAATACTTTAGTTATTTGCACTAAATGTTATATGTCTAAGTTGTATAGATTCCATTCAATACAAGAAGCATTGAGCAGATAAAGGATAAACAAATGTTCTTGTCTCTTGTACATATTTCTTTATTTCTCTATGTAAATCATACATAGTTTTCTTTGATATGGTATGTCTAGAAACATTCCAGGACACAATGAGCCACTTCACAGTGGCCACACATATATTTGGATTCGCGGCGTGTGCCACGATCGTAACACACCTTGTAGCGGCGATATACGCTGCCAGGTGTCAGTTTCTATGCATGGACATGATGTCCTCCCTGGAGATGGCCCTCTCCCAGGTCTGGCTGATGGATGTTATGTTCCTCCCTTGAGGACTGGTGGAAATCCCGCAGGAGCTCATGAATGAGCCCCTTCCTGAAGGCCCGCTGAGTCAATTTCTCTCCCAGTACTTTATGCACCAAGTAGGAATTGATGACCGCCATCTCAATCAGTTTATAAAGGACCTTTGTGGTCCACTTGATGGACTTGCGAGTGGTCGGGTAAGACTGAGCCAGCTGGTCACTCAAATCCACCCCCTTCATCCTGATATTTTAGTCGATCACCATACGAGGTTTGACCCTCTGTTGACAATACTGGTCTGACATTGTGACCATCTCGCTCTTGTGGACTGTCGACAGCATCGTGACGGGCTTCTTGTTGTACCACTGAAGGCACAACAAGCCCGTCCCTGAGCTACGATAGTCCATGTCACCATGGGCTTTTACCTGCAGGTCCTTTGGAAGGCGCTGACTTAGCCTGTGCTCAGGCCTGGAAATAGAGAGAAAACATTAGAAATTGTCCACAAGGCGACCTATGAACTCACAAACATATGCAACAAAGATACCAGGTGAGTCTCAAGACATCTTGCCTTCACTGACCTCGTACTTGTAGACTTTCACCCTGAAGCGCACGTGTTTGTCGGGCATGTAGTCTATATGCTGCCAGTGCCCCAGTAACTTCCACAGACTCTCGTCAACCGACATCCTCCGGGGAGGAGTGTAGACCGACGAGAAATGATGAGACAGATCAATTACTGGCTGAAGCTTCCACAGGTGGTCATTGACGGGTTCCACCCCATCATGATCCACCACATGGGGGCGACTGGTCAGAGTCTCAAACCTGTCCCTTGTCATCGTCTGTGGAAATGCGAGCCGGTTATCGAGGGGGTCCCACGCCCAGAGGGCCTTCTGTCTGGGCTTCGACTGCAGCGACCAGAGAAGCAACAATGCAAACATTGCATTGACTTCTGCTGCTGCAGTCTCAACCCAAGCTTTCATATGCGGCGAAGGACTCCTTGGGTATCGCTGGCTGTACCTGAAAGCAGAAGAAAAGTTATACAGTATTGCTTTAGATGAAAGGCAACTGTATATACATACAGAAAGGTATGCACAAAATAAGCAGAAACAAGAAAAATCCTTACCAGTTTGTGCCCTGGACGATCCCTTTGATAAGCTCATCAGTGACGAAGCAGTGATAGATTTCCGCGGGCAAGGAAGAGGCGTCTAGATCAGGAACGTTGACCCCAGGACGCCCCACGAAATCTTTCTGTTGCGGAGAATTATCCTGTTTTCGCCACTTGAACTTATCGGTGCCAGGGGCTTTCCGTTGCCATAACCTTTGGGCGACGACAGACAGTGGCTCGACCAAGTCAAGACTCGTGTCATGCTCCGACACCAAATCT